CCTGCGGGTGCAGCCACCCAGTGCCCAGCGGTGGGCAGCCCGTGACCCTCACTCTTCCCCGGTCACTGCCAGCACGGGGGTACCTAGGAAGGCAGCCAGAGTTGACTCCATGCAGAACTGTGCTGCCCGAGACTCCAAGGGCTCTGCACACGACGCCAGCTCTGTCACCAGTGCCCTATGTGACAGAGGACGCAACCAGCCCAGGGACGAAGACCCTCAGCCAGGGTCACGAGTTGGGGGGGAGGCAGAGCCTCAAGGCAGGTGGCTCAGCGCCGGGGTCTTGCTCCCGACCACAGTGCCATCCCTGGGCTCCCACCCTGCCTCAGGCCTCAGGCAGCATGGGGCTCTGGGCTTGCAATTTACTTCCTCAGGGCTCCTTCCCTCATTTGTGAGACAGTGTCTGCCTGATTCACTACTTCGGAATCCCTTTGGGTGTGGTGAGCCTGCACAAGGACAAAAAGGCCCACTCAGTTGAGAGGTCCCAGGAAAGCTTCTTTCCCCACAAACCCCTGCCTTTGGGGGCTGAAGGACAGCTGGGCAGGAGATCGCCAGGGCCCACCAGCAGTGCTGTGCTAGTGTCGGGACCTCAGAGTGTGGGGACACATACCGCTGAAAGCTTTTTACTTTGCCAACAACCCTCTATAAGCACCATCATTTCACCACAGAAAGGCGATGTAAAGTCAAAAGAGTGGAAAATGTGCGATCTCAGAATTAAAGGCAATCCTTTGAACTGAGTAACTCTGAAAAATCTCTTGAGTCTGCTTTCAGGGCAAACACTGACCAGCAATGAGAACCATGAGCAGACTCAACCTGGTGGACTTCTAATGATCTGCACCGAGGCGCTCCCCTCTGGCAATGAGGCGCAGGAGTGAGGCTCCTTGCGTGCAGGCACCGGCTCCGCACGCATGCTCCTTGCTGTCGTGTCTGCCCTGAGCTGGGTCAGCTGTGAAATGAAGACCTCCAGTTCTCTCACTCCTCTCGCTCCACACACTTGTTTTCTGCCCCCTCCCCACCGGCCTCACGTAGCTCCTTCTCTGACCCCATGAGAGCCCAGCCATGGTCCCTGCTATCTGGGGCTCCTAGCCTCCGAAGTCTTTCAACTATTCATCCTCCGCCTCCTGGATGAACACTGCGTGGAGTTTTCTTTGAAGAGTTTCCATGAGCTCCTTTCCCTGTTTATCTGCTCTTGATTAAAAGGCCATAAAGAATTGATTTGCCAAAGACTTAATAACCAGGCGCAGTGGACACGCGTGTAATTTAATGACAATTCCAGACCCATCTTTCATGGCAACAGTGGTCCCAGGGCTGCTGCCGTCGATGACAGAGTGGAGACAAATGAGCCCTTTAGCACTTCGCTGATTGCTTCCAAGTCCAGCCTCACGCTGTCTTCTCTGGCCAGGCTGGGCTAGTTCTGCAGGAGAAATGGCCTTGGCTCTGTAGCCAGAGAGGGGAACCAGGGAAGTTCAGAGCAGGCCCAGAAACTGAACGGAAGGCATTCCAGAATTCAGGGTTTGGCTGAGTGTCCATTTAATTAAAAAGTCCTTACTAAAGTTCTCTGAGCATCAATATTCAATAAACAATCGAGGCGTGATGGGGGCGAGCTGGGACCTCCCCATATGTCACGAGGCTACAGGTGATAAAATGGAGGTTGAGGGAGAAGGAACCATGTGACCAAGGCCACTTGGCAAGCACCAAAGAGAGCTGAGATGTGACCTTGAGCCCCGCAGACAGTCCGTTCCGGATCCTCCTTCCTCACGTCCCCCACTCCCACCAAAGCCACCCAATGCACCGAGCACTATTCCAGCCTCTGGCCTTTGTATCTGCATTCCTCCCACCAGGAATGCTGTCTCCCTGCCGGTCCTTGCACTTGACAGTCAGGATGGCTGTTATCCAAAAGTCTACAAGCAATAAATGCTGGAGAGGGTGTGGAGAAAAGGGAACCCTCTTACACTGTTGGTGGGAATGCAAACTAGTACAGCCNTAAAAATAAATGGAAAAAAAAATCCTTACTAAAGTTCTCTGAATTAAGATATTTTGGTGGCAAATGTCAGAAACTCAAGTCACCTAGCTCAAAATGGGAACATATTGGCTTATGAAAATAAAAAAAGGCTCATCTCAGCTTCAGGCAGCCAGGCCCGGGTGCCCGGCGATGTCTTTGGGAACCTGTGCTTTCCCGCTCTGAGCTGACTCCATCCCCAGGAAGGCCCATGCTGCCTGGCTGCAGGATGGCCACCCAGCCCAGGTCTTCTGCCTCCAGACAAGCACCTATGGCTGTCAAGACACCCTGTCCTCTCTACTGCTGGCTCCAGAAAAAGTTGGTTTGGCTTGGATTTGTGCCCATTCCTGGTGTACTTAACACTAAGTTCTGAGGACGGAAATGTGAATAAGACGTCCCCTTCTCTCAAGGGCCTCCCAGCCTTGTAGCAAATACTTCGTAGTTAACAGACACTGTGTGCAGTGTCATCCCCTGTGAGAAGCTGGGGGATTAAGTATGGAGCAAAGCCTCTGCAATAAAATTAAAACTTCCCTTCAAGTACATCCCCAAGTTTCCATCCCAAATTTCTTAATCTAGCAGAGTGGTTAAGAGCTCAGCATACTGCGGCCAACAGATCTGCATTTGAATCCAGGCTCTGCCATTTAGGAGCTTTGAGAATCTGGAAAGCAAACTCACGTTTCTGTGTCCCACGGAGATAATAACGTTACTGAATAAGGTTATTCTGAGGATTCAATGAAATGATGCATATGAGGCAGTAAATTCAGTGCCAACACATAATAAGAGCTGAATAAATTGCACTTCTTGCTGCTGGACTGGAGTTATGGGGGTTTGAATCCCCTCTCCACGGAGGGAGGGTTCTGGAGTAGACCAGTCTAGTACAGGCAAAGGGCCACCAGCTGGCATCTGGGAAGAAGTTGTTATAAAACAAAAGGGGACTGATGCTTCTTAGTCATCTAATCCAGGGGTCCCAGCACTGGGGAAGGGGTCTAGATGAACACAGATACTGGAAGGGCCTAAGTAAGTAAGTAAGTAAGTGTGAATCGCTCAGTCATGCCCACCTCTTTGTGACCCCATGGACTGCCGCCCACCAGGCTCCTGTGTCCATGAGATTTTCCAGGCAAGGATACTGCAGTGGGTAGCCATTTCCTTCTCCAGGGGATCTTCCCAACCCAGGGATTGAACCTGGGTCTCCTGTCCTGCAGGCAGATTCTTTACTGACTGAGCTACCTCAAACATACCTCAAAGCCCAGAGTCCTGAACCAAGGAAGTGAGGCAGAGTGGTGATGGGGGTGGGGTGTGGTGGGGTTACTTGGAGGGGGGGGAGCGTGCACAGATGGGGTATGGCTACTTTAAGGGGTCACAGACCACTGCCACTGTGCCGAGAGAAGCTTTCTCATGATGCCTTCCTGAGTCGTGACCCCACAGGAGGGGAAAAGGGCCCTGGGGACCAGCAATTGCCTGGAGGACTCCCCAGGGCCCCAGTTTGCATACCCCTGAGAACCTCCACACAGTGTCTTGAAAATTAAATCAGAGTCTTGAGCAAATGTGCTGAAACTCTCTCTCTGTGGGTTATTCACTCTCCTAAAATACTGTTTTCAATATAACCCCTGCCAACTGGATATAAAGTCCAGCTTTCTGAGTCTGGCGTTCGAGGGGGTCTGCTGCCTCTGGCCGTGCCCTGTGAGCAGAAGGCGTCTTGACGCCCCTCCCTCAGCACCCCCTCCCCCTCCACATCAACTCACACACGCTTCAGTGATGGGGAGGGGAGGTAGCCCCCAGATCCAACCTCCTCTAAGATCAGCAGAGGCACTTATGTGACTACTAGGCCTATCTTTGGGAATTTTTCTTTTAAGGTTTCGGCTGGAAAATAATTACCACTGTGTGATCCTTTCCTCTAAATTAGCGCTTTCATGCACAGTGTACTATGTGATTTTACAAAAGCCTTGTCAGGGGAGAGGGGCCTGCCTAACCAGCAGAGGGGGGCCGGGGCTGTGGGCTCAGCTCAGCCTGGGTCCTCTCTCCCGGGGTCTGCTGGCCTGGACAGCTCTGTCATCTCACAGTCCAACCCCATCTCTTCCCTGAGCCCATTTCACAGCAGATAGGTCCTGTAAATAGACTTAAATTGAGGGAGGAGCAAACCCAGGGAAGGACAGAGGCATAAAGCCCTGCTCTCAGCGGGCATGCCGCAGAGTCCCCAGCCGCCACTGCCCCTGGGTCTCGGGAGGGTCTCCCATCCCCTCTAGCAGGCGGACGCTCCTCCGGCAACCTCAGTGGGCCCACTCAGTGCTCGAGGCATGGAGAACCCGGAGCAGGAAACTGCCTCGGTTCACCCCCATCACCCCATTGTCTGGGGACAGTGCAGGGGGGGCCTGGGAAAGCCAGGTAGCACAGGTACACCCACCAGCCACAGGGACTGGTCCACGCGAGCTCACGAGGCCCTATGAGGCCAGCTCGTCATCCGCGCTGGCCAGATCCCCCCACAGGCGTTTGGAGCGGGGACTGGACTCCCTGGTCCACCTCTTTCTTGTGCATGACCTGGGTCAACACAGCCACTTGCCGCCTTGGAGAGGCGCAGCAGAGAAGGCCAGACAGGGACTGGTCCACGCGAGCTCACGAGGCCCTGTGAGGCCAGCTCGTCATCCGCGCTGGCCGGATCCCCCCACAGGCGTTTGGAGCGGGGACTGGACTCCCTGGTCCACCTCTTTCTTGTGCATGACCTGGGTCAACACAGCCACGTGCCGCCTTGGAGAGGCACAGCAGAGAAGGCCAGACTGCTGGAAGGGAAATGTCAAAGAGAAGCAGAGGCAAGAGAGGAACGATGGAGGCAGCGGCTGTTCCCCTGAGACCCCCTCGTGAGGGTCGGCAGGGCCCCGGGCTACCCCGAGGGGTTTCCGTCAGCAATCTCGTCCTTTTAAACTAGCTTGAGCAGCCTCTGTCCGCTGCCCTCAGGGATCCCGAAGATGAATCCCAGCCACTCCTGCCACCCTTAGCAGATTTTCTGAGAACGTGTGGATGAGGCAGGAACCAGCATTTAGGTAATTCTGCAGTCCTTTCCGCCTGGGTCATGTGCTGCCTTCCCAGAGCGCCCAAGTCTGGCAGCACTTGGGCTGGGAGACATGCGAAGTCTGGGTGTAAGACCCAGCCCCCGGCCACAGAGAAGGGGAACGCTCACAGGAGCGCTGGCTCCCTGACCAGCGCTGGACTCGGACGCCAGCACATCTCACCACCACTTGAACAGGACGTTCCTGTGTGTTTTAGGCCAATAGATAGGCATGGTTTCTTCTTAGAGCTAGTATTTCTTTTGTATTTACTGCTTGGGGGGGGGGCTGGTTCTTTCTTGTTAAAAAAATCGGTTTATGAGTTTGTCTTATTCAATTGATATTGACTATTGATTTCCATTGCACCCTCTCTGCCTCTCCTGCTTCATGAATGTTTATTGTGCATCCTCTTACTGGAAGAAGAAAGCCATCCTGACTGATGCAGGCCTGCTGTGACTTCCCTCCCCTGACTCAGTCTGGAGCCCGCCTTGCTGAATTGAGGACGGCTGTTCCTTTTCCTTCGTCTTCGCCAGGAGTGGCTGCTGGCAGGCACCTCGATGGAAAGGCAGCGTGGTGGCTGAAAGCACGGGGAACCGCACCCCTGTAACACATCCTGTGGCCTGGGGTGTGTCCCTTCCATCCCTGGCCCTTTCCCTAGTCTGCAGAGTGAAGGCCCTGGCCCACAGCACCTTCAGTTTCCTGAAGGCCTGGCTGACCATGTAGCGACCCCGCTGCTCAAGGCTCCTCACAGGTGGGCTCAACCAGAAAGGGGCTTTTCCTGCCAACCCCCTTCTAGCTCGCCAGCACACACACCCTCACCCAGCCCAGGCGTAGCCTTTCCACACGCATGGCCTTTCTGCATCATCCAGCCCACGTGGGGGTCTCTGTCACTCTCCTGCCTTAGTTGGGCCATATAGATGGGCTGTCCTTTGCCACCTGGGGCTGCCGCTGGGTCTCAGGGCCTCTGCATTGTGGATTGGAGGCAGAAAAGGAGAAGGTTTAATAGGTTGGAAATGGATACACTTAGGGCACTAAAGGCTATTTTCCCTTTTCCATCATTACAGTGGTTCTAAAATATATCTACTAATGCTTTGACTTCCTCCCTTCAAAGAATGAAGTCTAACTCCAAATGTGGCCTGTACTTAATGACTCACTTCTCACAAATAGAGTGTTTGTACAAGTACTGCTATATGATTTCCAAAGCCTAGTCATAAAAAGGATGACTTCTGCCTAGCTCTCTCTCTCAGATCTCTTGCTCTGAGGGAAGACAGCTACCAGCTCAGGAGAACAGTCAAGCAGATGTGGAGCTGGAACCTCGGGGGATACTGAGGCCCCTACCAACTCCCAACAGCAAGCGGTCCTCGGACGTCTCCAGGTGACAGCAACTTCACGACAGAGCCTGAGCCAGGGCTGCCTGACCAAGCTGAATTCCCGACCCACAGAAACTCTGAGGATAATAAATACTTACAGTTCCTTTAAGCCACGGACTTTGGAGCACTTTGTGTGCAGTGGCAGATAAATGATAGACAAGTAATAAGCCCTGAATCTCCCACTGCAGCTAAGTATGCGTCACTCGTCGCTTTCTTTGCACAGAGCAAAGAGGAGAGCCCTTCCGTTGTCACAGAGCTCAATTTAGCAGGATTCGGAGCACAGGTTAACATGTATTGCTGCCCTGTGACCTCATGTTTTGGCCCAGCTTTGATCCACATGACCCAGATACCTTCACAAATCTACAGCCTTTAGCTGCAAGGCCTGCAGGGTCTGGGTGGCTTCCACAGTACAGGCCTGTCCAAGATTCAGGGTTACCGTCCACTATGGGAGGAGCACCACTGAGCCCAGAGCTGTCTCTGTACCAGGTCCACAAATGCCCACACTGAAGCATCCCCAAGCATCCTGATGCAAACTGATTTCCTTGGACAGCAGGGCAGCCTCCACTCTGAGAACCACAGCAAGACTGCTGGGGCCGCCAGGAGCCGCTGATACGGCAGCCCGATGGCTTCCCCAAGACGGGTGTGGCCCGACGTGTGTGACGCTGCCCCGTTCCCCCCGACACAGGCTCTGGATGCCGAGATCCTGAGGACACTGAGAGGAATCACATTTTCCCCGAGCCCAGGCCCCTGGGCAAGAGCCCTGGGAGGTCGCCCAGCCCCTCATCCACACAGACAGTGACAGATCCATCCTCGAAGCGCTGAGCACAGTCTGGGCCCTGCCAGGGGTTCCTGCCAGCACTCGCTGTGCCCTGCGAGCCTCCCTTACAGGGAGGAACGCTCACGTCGTGCGGTGCAGCCAACACTGTCTGACCATCTACCACGTGTGGGGCAGAAGCATGGCTGCAAGAGGAAAGGGGAGGCCATACGGCTCCTGCTCCACGAGCCCCCCTCTCCAGTGAACGGAGGAATACTGGGTCAATCTGTGAACAAGAATCAAACTAAGGGAATAGCAGCCTCTGTACCTCCTGAGCACCCAAGGAGCAGGAACACCAAGGGAAGTTGGCCTGGGCTCTAGGAGATCATGCCTTTCCACAAATGCCAAGAGCATCACGTGTGGCCATCCGATGGCACCACAGAGGCATGGGAGAGCCACGTCTGTGCGTCACTCTGTCCGGCAGCAGTCTATGCAGGCCAGCGAGCGCTGCCACGCGCTGTGAAACAAAAACTCCAACAGGAGCAAGCGCACATCTCCTGCTCACAAGTCTGCAAGTCGACTGAAGCATCTCTGCTCTCCCCTGGGCTCTGCTCACATACTCATTCCAGGGCTCAGGCTGAAGGAGCAGTCGCCACCCGGGCCTACCCCTCTCAAGGTGCAAGGCAGGGGGATGAAAGGCCAACACAACAACACAACGTTGGAAGCCCTCGGGTGGAGGTGAGACATCTCATGTCTGCCCTCACTCCACTGGTTACAGCAGGTCATGAGGCAAGTCTTTGGGACAAAGAAGTACACTCTATCCAGAACGCACCTTGACAAGGATGGGGAGGGAAGGAAAACTGTGAAAAATTAATACGATCTGCTTAACAGACGGTGGCCAGGACGTCATAGCTGTTGAAATGGGAACAGACTGGACTTTGTATGGGAGAGGCTGGGTTGTTCACTAAACTGTTCCTCTTTCCCTCCTGGACATAAAACCAGACTACATTTCCCGGCTTCCTTTGTAGCTCATGTCTGAATCTGGCCGGTGGAAGGTGATGGAGATGATGAACTCTACTCCCAGGCCCAGACAGTTAAACCTCCTACCCCATCCTCTGTTCTTTCCTCATCGACTGGGTAGCACCTAGCTGAGGACCCTGAAGCCCGGAATGATAGCAGAGACACGTGGGCCCCTCAGTCACCACTTGGAGGACAGTCACCAGGAGACACCCAGGTGAGTCTGCTTAGGGAATTGTGGGCACACTTCTATGGTGTCAAGTCACAGAGACTTGGGGATTGTTTGGTATAGCCGTTGATCTCCCCACTGTTACCTCGTGTCACAGAGGCCCTTGGGTGTGGCTAAGTGGGACTAAGTCAGGAAGGCCTGGGCTGAAATATCCACCCTAGCACGTTTCAGTGGGATCACCTTGAGCAAACTGCTATTCCTCTCTAGACCTTAATTCTTCATCGTTAAATGGGGATTCATAACCTCAAAAGATACATTAATGACAAACTCCTTCACTAAACCAGGTGAGGTGTCTTAACGAGTCCCAGCAGGTGGCCCTGTTGGCCCAGAAGTTTACAAGAGACTTTCAGGACGTGGGAAGCCACCACGTGCCATGTTGAGGGGTAAGTCTTCCTGGGGGCTCGCTCAGCTCGGGGCAGGGATCGGGGAGCAGGATGCACTTCATGGGCTGGGAAAATCCACACCGCAGGAGGGGCAGGTCCTCTGCTTTGCTGGAGGTTTCTGCAGACACATTGACTAGAAAGCTGGCAGGAATGGGCAATGACTCTCTCATCTCAGCCTGCCCCTGCCCCCGACACCCAGGCTCCCAAAGTTCCCCCAAACCTACAAAGGCCACTTTAAACCTCAGGTGATTACAGTACTCTCCTCACTGCGCTTTTGTGAGGATGACATGAGCTGCTATTTGTAAAGTTCGTGGAGCTATGCTGTGGAGGAGTTGTTATATGCATAAAATAAATAGAAAAACATGAGGCAGAAGGAGAAGGCAGGAAAGGAGACAGAAGTGATGGAGGGAGAGAGCAGTCAGGTGGACCCTGGCAGGCAGGCCCCCAGGTAGATAGGTGGACAAGAAGGTAGGAACGGACAAGAAGAAAGGAACAGGCTCCTGAAGGAAAATTCGAGAGAGGGATTTTCAAGAGACAAATCCCCAAAAATAGAAGGATGGAGCACACATTCACGAATGCGTGTGGCCTTCTAAAAGACCTCTCAGGCCAAACAAGTGCCATCTTGGGGGAGACACCACATGCGCACATCCCCTGGGCAGTCAGTGGCCCGCTCCAGGAAACGGCTCCGGCTGCGAGCGCATGGGTGCCCAGGGCGGTGGGTGGCCTGAGTGCGCAGAAAAGCAAGCAGGCCCCAGCAAGTTCCCCTCCACCCCCAGGGCGCCCCGGCTCCATCCACAGCCTGTTCCCTGGTCCTGTCAAGATCCCCAGGAAAAGTATGGGACAAATCAGAGATGTTATTCAAATCTGTTTCCAAATGCAGACAAGCTGACAAGCTCTCTCTCAAGTTACAGGCGTCCTGAAAGTGGCGTCTGTGAGCAAGGCCCCGGCCACTCCCACCCGGCAGCTCCCACCTCTGGGCACTGCTGGGCTCAGCACGGAGGGCGCCCACACACAGAGCGCTCGCAGGGAAGGTCGCCAATCTATGGCTAGGAGGCAAGGAGCGGGCCTCCCAGGTCCTGGAGCCTGGCGGACGAGTGGGGCGCCTCCCTGGGGTCCGAGCGACCCCAGCACCTGGGTAGAGAAGCCGTGTGTGCAGAGGCACCGTGGTGATGTAGCAAACACCTCCATCAAGAAGTACAGCGGGGCTTGCCGAGGATTCGAGAGAATGACTTGCCTGCGTCCCTGGGATGCATTGGTGGCACAATTAAGCCTAAGTTCCAGGATTTCTGACTGCCAGCTCTGTGCTTTCTCACCATATCACACTTGCTCTTGATTTTCTCTAAACGATGCAAGCACTTATAAACACACAGGGAGATAGGTCCTTTTACTCTTTTTTGGGGGGGTGGGGGGCCACACCACACGGCTAGCAGGATCTTTGTTTCCTGGGCTCTGGCAGGGAAAGCAGTGAGTCCTAACCACTGCACCACCAGGGAATCCCCCAACAAGCTCTCTCTCAAGTTACAGGCGTCCTGTAAGTGGCGTCTGTGAGCAAGGCCCCGGCCACTCCCACCCGGCAGCTCCCACCTCTGGGCACTGCTGGGCTCAGCACGGAGGGCGCCCGCACACAGAGCGCTCGCAGGGAAGGTCGCCAATCTATGGCTAGGAGGCAAGGGGCGGGCGTCCCAGGTCCTGGAGCCTGGCGGACGAGTGGAGCGCCTCCCTGGGGTCCGAGCGACCCCAGCACCTGGGTAGAGAAGCCGTGTGTACAGAGACGCCGTGGTGATGTAGCAAACACCTCCATCAAGAAGTACAGCGGGGCTCGCCGAGGATTCAAGAGAATGACTTGCCTGCGTCCCTGGGATGCATTGGTGGCACAATTAAGCCTAAGTTCCAGGATTTCTGACTGCCAGGTCTGGGCTTTCTCACCATATCACACTTGCTCTTGATTTTCTCTAAACGATACAAGCACTTATAAACACACAGGGAGATAGGTCCTTTTACTCTTTTTTTGGGGGGTGGGGGCCACACCACACGGCTAGCAGGATCTTTGTTTCCTGGGCTCTGGCAGGGAAAGCAGTGAGTCCTAACCACTGCACCACCAGGGAATCCCCCATTTGCTCATTTATAAAACGGGATTGTTGCAAGGATGACACGAAATAGTAGATCACGGTAACACACATTGTTCAGCGACTGACACAGTGCAGACACTCCGCAAATGTTAGCTGTGGTTGTGGCTGTTCAATTCGTAATTGCTACTGTTACGTACTATTAGTAATAATAATAATAATAAGGGGCTGTGTGACACACTCTTCCATGCGGACTTAATTCCTCAGAACCTGGATCTCTTCCACTTTTGTCTCTGACTTTAGATGCAACTGGAAAATGCCCTCAGGATTTATTCCTCCCCAGTACTCCTAACAGAACAAACTCGAGACATCCAGAGTGCTATCTTCCAGAGAATTTGCTATGAGCCTGACATGGTGCTGGGGCTTGACATTTGTTCTTTTGAATCAACTGTGTAGTCATCAGAATACCCATTCCACAGATGAGAAAACAAAAGGTCACAGGGTTATGCATCAGGAGAGGTGGGAGGCTGACCTGGGCCTGGAAGTCCAGGAACCAGGATCTCATATCCACTCCTGCCTTTCAGATGCTTCCAACAGTCAACAGGCAATGTCAGGCCTCCAGGGTCACAGGGGCACCCCACGGGACACCAGTCCTGTCCAGGTCAGGGCTAGAGTTGCTTAGTGGGGGGAAGATCAATAGCAAGGCTAAGGAGAGAAGGACAACTTTCTGGAGGGAGGCCAGAGTGGCTGTGCAGGGTTTTGTGAGCACACACATGGCCTCATGCAGAAACACACAGAGGCATGAGCACACACAAGCACACACAGGCATGTGAACTCAGACACACAGACATGGGCACACATAGGCATACACACAAGAATCTGCCTGCTGTGCAGGAAACCCAGGCTTGATCCCTGGGTTGGGAAGATCCCCTGGAGAAAGAAATGCAACCCACTCCAGTATTCTTGCCTGGAGAATTCCATGGACAGTGGAGCCTGGCGGGCTACAGTCCACAGGGTCACAAAGAGTCAGACACGACTGAGTGACTAACACCCACACAAAAACAGAGACGCAGACAGGCACAGGAGTCATCCCGAACCCCCAGAAAAAAGCTTCAGGCCCTTGGCGGTGCCCTCCTTGGAGGGACAGCTATGGAATTGCCCCGAGCTGACCCCCATCGCTTGCCTCCCGCCCCAGCACTGGGCCCCAGCCTCAGACAAGGGTGGGTGCTCCCTGAGCGTTCCCAGGTGCTCCCAAGACTCTACTTCAGGAGCAGCGCAGGCATGGGCCAGGCCCCAGAGACTTCAGGAGGGCCTGGTGGGCGGGTGCTCCCTTCAACGAGATTCTGTCTCCTCAGCCTCTGTCCCTGCCTCACTCTTGGAATTTCTGCAGAGTCTCACAGACAAACTCACTTCTCTCCAGCCACTAAGATGCAAGAAACAGGTGATTCCCAGTGGAGGACGGTGCTCCAGAGCCCGCACAGGGGGACAGCGCTCTGTTTCCCCCTGAAGCAGATAAGGGGGAGAAGGAGCCCTCTGCCCACCCCGGGAGGGGGGTCTTCCCCTCTCAAGAGGCCCAGGGGGTCTCTGCAGGCAGAGGTGGGCCGGCTCAGCCAGGCCTCGGGGCCTGGACTCCCTCTTCTTTCCTCTTCAGGGCCTGCGGGAGGTGGGGGCGTCCGGGGGCCCCTTGGTTGGCATGTGAGGGAGTGAGGCTGGAGATATGCCCCCTTCACTCTCTGAGCCCTGCCTCCTGCACCCCAAGGTGTGACCGCTGAGACAGCAATCATGGTTTCACACAGTAAAGCCTCCCCTGACGATCAGCACAGCATGCTGCTCCCAGCCCTCCGTGTTTCTGCTCCTCACCTGCCCGTCGGCATCAGGGTGCGTCCTACCTGGGAGGGACCTGGCGTCTCTTTGGGCCAGGAGGTTTCCTAGGAATAAAACAGGGGTGGAAATGACCGCTGGGAAGTTGAAGAGCACTCTGGATGCAGAGGCATCTGTCTTTTCAACACATCATCTCTCCCTCTGGAGGGGCCTGGACTGAAAGATGGCTAGTTTCAGCCCCAGGGGGCTTTGTGAAGGCAGCGAGCTTGATATCAGCTCCTCCCCTCTCCTCGGCCTTGTGAACCCAGAACCTTAGCTGCCCTGAACACGCCAATCACTCATTCATTCAGCAAACATCCTGGAGCAGCCAGGCCTGGGAGGCGCGCACTGTGCGGGGAGCGATAAGACCCCCCTGCGGAACACAGCCACCGGGGAGACGGCATCGGAACACGATTATCCTAACATGAGCCCAAGGACTGAATCTCAGACAGTGACTTTAGAAGCACTGGTGAGTTCAAACAGGAGTTGAAGCCCATCTTCCTCTCCAGAGGACCAGGGAGTCCCACGTGCCCGTCCTCAGCCGCCGCTGGCCCCGCACCGCGGCCTGGGGGCAGGACAGTGGGGCTCTCGCCGGCAGGCCCAGGGGTCCTGGGCAGCCTCGTGCTTCCTGCGAACCTGGAGGCTGGCGGGCTGCAGGCCAGCACCTCTGTAGCGGCCACGGCCTCTCTCCTTCCCTGTTCCCATCTGGAGGCCACAAGCAGCCCCGAAAGACCGTGTGGGCCTGGGTGTCAGCTAGGCCTCAGCTCAGAGCCTGCCTCGGCCACCCTGCCCCTGGGGCAGAGATCACTCCAGCAGGGAGCAAGCTGACAAGCAGCCGGGCAGGGCCCCCGGGGCCAGGGGCGAAGCACGCGTGAGGGCAGCAGCCTCCCCCGGGACCATCTGGTGCCCTCTCCACCCGCAGCGTCCGGGGCTGCTGTGAAGCCCGTGGTGGGGGCGGCAGGCCCGGAGCACCAGGAGGGCTGGGCCGGGAGAGGCCCCTGGCAGCCCTTCCAGACGGGAGCCTCTCTGCTGGGACGGCCACCTCCGGCCAAACCTCAGCAAGCACTCGAGCTCAACAAACACCAGTGGGGATGAAGATTGACACACCCGACTCCATTCGTGATATTTAAGTCTGCACCGCCTTCCCTGACCAGCTCAGGGAGATCTCCACCCCACTGCTGGCCCCGGACAGGGTCTCATGCAGACCCTAGGGCTGTCTGTTGAAGTCTGCACTTTTTCCTGGGGAAAAATGACCCTCCTAGGAAAGAGGGAGATAGAGGTCCTACAGGAACCCTGTGTAGGTATCATCCAGGGAAGCCTAGGAAGGGCCACTGGCCCGGTCTCCTCATTGACAAGAGTTGCTTCAGGCCAGACGTTGTGCCAGGCTCTGGGAATCAAGCCCCAAACGAGGCAGGTGTCCTCTGAAACCTCCATCCATGAGGTTCCCAGTGCTGTCTGGGGAGAAGGGAGGGATTTAGGCTGGAGGAGCAGAGGCAGGCTCCGGAGCCTGAGCACCTTGACAAAACCTCTTTGGGGGTGCCCAGGGCCATGCCAGCCACACTCGGCTCCTCTCCAAGGCGTCTTGTACCCAGGAACTGCTGCCCTGAGACCTGTACACGCTGCCCTGAGACCGTCACAGCACAGGGGTCCGTGCAAGATCAGGCAAGTTGTGTGGTGAGAGAAAGTTCTGCGAAGCCCACAGGCCCCACTCCCTAGGCCCCGACACAAGCCCGACGTGAAGCGCCTGCGGCAGACCCCCCAAAAACGGCCGGGGAAGGCCCTTCCAAAACCTGGTCCTTGAAAAAAAAGAAAAAAAGAAAGCCGGAAAGAAAAAAGGAAGGGAGGGAAGAGAGGGGCAGAGAACAGACGGAGGCAACCCTGAGGGGCACACGGGCCGGCCTGGGTGGGCTTTGAGGCTGACAGCGATTTGTCTGTGTTTATTTCGACCGTTCCCCAGGGCTTGTGGCTGTCGTCCAAGCCCATTAGAAAGGACTGCAAAGGCCAGGGTGTGTGTTCCATAGAAGGGCTCTGGCTGGAACACACCAGGACATACACCGCCTGTCTCCATAGGCAGAGGTATTGACATCTGCTTAGTCAGTCTAACTGGAAATGCAGCTGTAACTACTGTTTTGTTTTAAAGAATTGCTTTTCCTCATCTGTTGATCTCCAGGCCTGAGGTGCCGCTGCTGTAACTGTATCAAAACCCATCGGTTCAAGCAACGAAATGCCTGGCATGTTGTCTGCCGAGAGTGCAATGACTTACCCCCTGGAATTTTCTCTGGTCCAGGCAGTACAAGAACTTCTATTCCTTAGAGGGGATGGTTTTTAGAAACAAGGTGCTTCCATTCTCCCCGGAAGACAGCAGATTTCTAGACCCTTGAAAACTAGGGATAGAACAGAGAGGCTGGTTGAAACTAAACGCCGTGGTTGCCGGGAACGGCCGAGGAGACCCCTGCGGTTTGTGCTGGCCCCTCAGCGAGTGTCCAGCAAAGGGAGGCCTCCCAGGGCCCAAGGTGCCACGCTTTTCGGATCAGGTGCTCATTGCTGCCCTGGAGAGCAGGGGCGACTTGGTGATGCCCACGCACTGAGCTGTGCCCGCATCCCCAGCTCTCAGCGAGTGTCCCCAGGTCCCGAGATTAAGGACTGGGCCACAAGCAGCTTACGGAGACGGCGATCCTGGACGCACTCACGCGGGGGTGGGGGCAGACAGGCAGGAGCTGGCAGCTGTCACAAGGCGTGACCACGAACGAGCCGCGGCCACTGAGGATGTTGGACACGGTCGGAACAGGCCCGGGGGGAGGGCGAGAGCCCCACGGCCTCACCGCAGCGGCGGCACTACCCGCACAAGCCGCCCTCGGGGGCCCAGGCCCGGGACGCAGGGGCAGCAAGCTCTCCCGTCACCAGCAAAACCACAGCGCAGCCCGAGCCCTGTGCGGGCCCCTCCCGCACAGCGCTCTCTGTCTCTGGAGACGGCGGGGACGGGAGGACAAGCAGGAGGCAGGGTGCTGCCCTTCCGAGTCTCACGGTGATTCACGGTCCTTGCGCGCATGGAGCGCCGGGGGAGGAAGGCGCAGCTTCACATCCCTTAGAGCTGGAATCTCTCTTGGCCTGGCCCAGGCCTGGCCTCTCTGGGTTCCAGACTCCCCATGGGCAACCCCAGGCCCTTTGGGCTCCAGAACATGCCCTGCACTCGTCCTGAGAACCTTCCAGTCACAACACCGTTTGCACACAGCAAGGAGCTCAGAGGAGGAAGCTTCCAAGCCCACCATGGGGCCGGGGCTAATAGACTGTCCTTCCATGACCCTCCCATCCTGCAAGATAAATTAAATCAGAATGCCAAAATAGAGAGTCTAAGGGCCATGTGGCCTGAATATAGGTCCTGTTGGCTGAGGTCTGCTTTCACAGGCTGACTCAGCTCTCCTGGATTTCTGAAGATACTTTCCTCTCACCAGCCAGCTTCTCAACCCTGTTTTCCTCCTTCTCCTTTGCCTGAAGACGACCTCTGAAAGCCTCACCCCCACCCAGGTGCCCAGGTCAGGAGCATAGCCTGGGCCAAATAGGAGCCTGCCTGCTTCCAGGGTGCTTGAGCCCCAGGAGCAGGAGGAGACGCTGGGAGCTGCCAGCTCAGAGGCGGGCCCATCTCACCCCCGATCAGGGGTAACTACAGTCGGTGCCGAGAATCGTGAGGGCACCCTGGTCCACTCACCCTTCCTCCCACCACAGTCACTCCTGCCTTCAGCGAGCTCCAGAGGGTGCCCTCTCAAAGCAGCCAGCCCCCCGCTTTAGGGAGCCTCTCACACATCTAACCTGTGCCTGCCGAGCTGTGAGACAGTCTCCCTCCTCTCCCACGAGTGGTGGGGCTGGGCCAAAACCAGTCATCAGCCTTCAAGTGAGAAATTCTGTTGACCCATCACATCCCCATCAGTGACCGACAGGACCCCTCCTCTGTGAGAACGTTGAAACAGGAGCAGCGGTTGGGTAGTGAGGATTCCTGTGTGCTAGGGGAGGATTTTATTTATGATAGGACTATCATCACTGTCAGGTCATAGGTCAAGAGGAGGCTGGGGTGGTTAAACAGCTGGGTGAATCCCTGGCCTTGGGTGAGCACAGAGCCAGGACACAGAGTGAGTCCCTGCCTGCCTCCCTGGGCCCCTAGCCACCAGGCCGCTTGCCCTGCCCCACCCTGGCCAGACACCAGCCCCCTCCAGGGGGCCCTCAGCACTGGGAAGGACCAACTGAATGATCCCCAAAGCCCATCAGGCTCCTCTCCCTCACCGCCCCCCACCCACATGCCGGCCCCTCCAGCAGACCCCATGGAGGCCAGTGACAGATGAGGGGGACTGGTCCGCAGTGACAGCCTGGGCAGCCACAACCCTGTACTCCCCACCATCCCACTGCCGACTCCTGGAGAAGGGCATGCACTCCAGTGTGGGGCTCTCTCTGCGTGGATCTCACAACCTCAACCATCGAATCCAGCTCTCCCACTGGGCCAGCTTGCCCACTGCAGGCTCAGCCCACTACGGCATGCAGGAGGCCAGCAGCCTCCTCCCAGCCTGGTGGATACAGGGCAATGTCACCTTCCTGTCCAGACGCACAGCCTCTACGGGCAGGTGGGCGCTTTGTTGCTGCTTAGCCCCTAAGTTTTGTCCAACTTTTTGTGACCCAGTGAACTATAACATGCCAGGCTCCTCTGCCCTCCACTGTCTCCCGGAGTTTGCTCAAATTCATGTCCAGTGAGTTGGTGATGCCATCTAGCCATCTCATCCTCAGCTGTCCCCTTCTCCTTTTGCCTGCAATCTTTCCCAACATCAGAGCCCTTTTCAGTGAGTCGGCGCTTCCCATCAGGTGGCCAAAGTATTGGAGTTTCAGCTTCAGCACTAGTCCTTCCAGTGAATATTCAGGACTGATCTCCTTTAGGATGGACTGGATGGATCTCCTTGCAGTCCAAGGGACCCTCAAGAATATTTTCCAGCACCACAATTTGAAAGCATCAGTTCTTTGGTGCTCAGCCTTCTTCATGGTCCAACTTTCATATCCATACATGACTACTTGAAAAACCATAACTTTGACTATATGGACCTTTGTTGGCAAAGTAATGTGTCTCTGCTTTTTAATATGCTGTCTAGGTTGGTCACAGATATTCTTCCAAGCAGCAAGCGTCTTTTAATTTCATGGCTACAGTCACCGTCTGCAGTGATTTTGGAGCTCAAGAAAATAAAATTGGTCAAGGCTTCCACTTTTTCACCTTCTATTTGCCATGAATTAATGGGACTGGATGCCAGGATCTTAGTTTTTTAACGTTGAGTTTCAAGCCAGCTTTCTCTCTCTTCTCTTTCACCCTCATCAAGAGGCTCTTTGGTGGCTGAGATGGTAAAGAATCTACTTGCAATGCAGGAGACCCAGGTTTCATCCCTGGGTCAGGAATATCCTCAGGAGAAGGAAATGGCAGCTGACTCCAGTATTCTTGCCTGAAGAATTCCACGGACAGAGGAGCCTGGAGTCGGACACAACTGAGTGACTAACACTTTCTTCACTTTTT